AGCCCTGCTCGCGCCTTGCGGACCCCATGTCCGTTTCCTGACTTCTCGTCACCTGAGGGACGTGGTGTCATCACCAATGCCCTCGACGGGGCACCGATGCGAAGTAGCTGGAAGCTGCCAATAAGGCGGCTTTAAAGCGCGCCCATCCACGGTCGGTCATTTACCCTCGTGTGGAATATGGCTACCGCCCAGCGGATCCCGCTGTGGAAGCGAGAACGCGGTAACTTGATCGTTACGCGTCCACATAATCGGGCCCCCGACCAGAACGAAAGATGAGCTTGCCAAACGGAAAGCTCTTCGAGCTCGTTTCTTGGTCCCACAAGAATTTCCGCTGAAGCTTATCGCGCTTGTCCACATGCTCAACGAGGTGGTTCTCGTGTACCCGCAATGCGGACAATACCCGTAGTGCTCGCCCTGGCGAAAGCGCTACAGATGACGAGGTGCTCTCTGAGCGCTGGGTGCAACGGCACCTAAACCTTTTCTCACTGTATGCCTTACAGTTGAGCCACAAGGAAGTGGACGTGCGTTTGAAGCGACACTTCCGATTTGAGTTCGCCAAACTCAAGGCACGCCGTCGACTTCCTTCGGATTGTCGCCCTGCGACGTATACATTCTGTAGTTTGTAGTCAAATCAGCTCACTGATTTTAAGCAATGAAATTAAACTTAAGCGTTTGAGATGGCAAAATTTGGCAATTGAAGACGAAACTCTCCTTTGTTGATGTACTAGCACACTTGCGCTCGGTGAAAGTGTCGGTACGAGATTTACTCCATGATATACCTTTTCTATTGCCGCGGTACTATACAATCTCGTCGTCTGTTTTGTGAACCCAAAGCGTGTACATGTCACTATGGCCTTAAATTTATTGAGCCTTCATGTTGTATCAGACATGCATGATATTGTAATCAGTGTATTTGAATGTGATTTGTACGCAGAGCGAAATGGGAGTAAGATTAGGCTTTACCAACATTTTTTAATGGCGCATTGAAAGCTACAACGGAGATGACACTGATAAAAAACAAAGAGAGAGATAAGAAACAGTCATGCGCTGCAATATGTTTCTTTCGCCAAGGATACTCCATGAGCATGTGCTTTTTTATCGATAGATGCTTCAAATTATAATACATTCAAAATCGTCACATTAAAAAGTTTATTTAAAGGAAAGCTAGAACTTCACAGAAAATGATTAAACATCTACATGCAGCATCCACAATGTGTGTCCACGTTCAGTTCATTTAACATCCAAAAAAGCGGACAACTTGTAGAGAGGTACCCGTTTTACCCTTCGACAAATATGCCACGCTGCCATCTGGGTAGGTTTTAAGAGCTTGGTAGCGATTGCCCACCACAGATTTGTCTACAATCACCTTTTCACTGATAGCCTTGCCTGTGGATTTGTTCAACACCTGCGCGTATATCGTGCGTTTACTGCCCTCAACGAGGTCACCACCCACCGAGCTTCCTTCCCACATAGCTAAGATACCACCACTACCAATGGACGCAAGGTGTGGTGCACGCTCATTGGCATCTGTGCCACCTAAAATGATGTCCTCGGTGGCTGCTGCATTCATGGCAAAATGAATCAGATGCACCTTAGCATTGTTTCCATTGCCATTGCTTACTGTAGCCCAGTACTTGTTACTCGATGGAACAGAATCCGGAACAATGTCACCCAAATTAGACGCTGCCAAGTCTACAGGATAAATGGTTGTACCCCAGTCTTTCGGTGGCATAATACGATTATTGTTGTCTGTCTTACAAATCGTTGCGTAGTTATTTGTACGATTGTCGTACGTGATACGCTCGTAGCCTGAGTGTGAGCATCCCCAATCGAATGAATCTTCGTTCGCTACGATTTTACCAGATGCATCTACGACCTTCATTCGATCTCCCTGATGAATATTGATGCATCCACCTTCAGATGTTGATATGGCAGCACCAAAGTATGCAGCCCAATTCTTGCCGTCGTAAGCGATACGACCGTGGTGTGCGTACCACCAGATCATGTACACATCTGGTCCCGTTTTACTCGACGAGTAAGGTGGGAGCGATGCACTGGATGAAGTTAACTTTGTTGCCCACGATTCTTTTGATCCATCATAGCGAATTAAGTACATGTCATAGCAGGGAATAGGTGGGTTTGGCGCTGTACCACATAGATTGCTCGGGTTACCACAGTTGAGGGTACCCCGACCTTCAGCATTTCTCGTTCCAAGAATGACGAAACCAGTGTTATCGGCGTAAATGTCGGCAAAGTCATGTAGTGGTATCTTCACAGCAGCGCTTTTACTAACAATTTTGTCATTGGAATCCAGCTCGACTACAGTCACACTATCACCGCTGTGGTAGGCGACACGAGAACCTCCAGATGGAATAGCAGCAATAGCAACAACTTTTAAAGCGACTTCATCTTCATTAGCATCAACTGCACCCCCAACATTGACATCAGTGATTTGGACCCGTGGCTTTGCACACAGTTGAGTGTTTGAGGTAGTTGCTACGGTTTGTAATTTTCTGAGATTGCTTGAGCTCGCCGCTGGTGGGATATCAGTGTCGAATTCACCCAAGGTATCGATAAATTCAGAATCATTGCTGTCAGTCAGAGTAT